ACCGTGGCTGCCAAGCCGCAGATCCCCCAGCGAAGGTACAGAGCATCAGCGCCCACCCTCAGCCCAGCTCGCACAGACAACAGCAGCAGCGAGGACAGACAGACGTAGCACGGGCTGGTGGTCCTGGCCAGGAAGCCAGGGGTGTAACCACATGGTGCAGCAGCCACCCTGGAGCAACACCTCACACACACACACAACCTCGATGAGCATCAGGTCTGCGACACCCTCCCACCACGGGGAAAACGCTGCCACGGGTGACAGCACGTCAGGGGGATTAGTCCCAAATCGCACACTAGCTTTGGGCACGCAGCACTCCCACCAGGACAAACGCCTAGAAAGAAGGGTCCAAATAAAATTAGCGATTTTGATGGCTTTGCTTGTGACATTGTAAAACCGGGTACGACTTTTTTTCGAGGGCTTGATCCTCGGAGGCACCTTAAGTCAGACACGCAGTAAGGCTGGCACCGAAACAACAGCTCCTTTCGGAACTTTAGGGCAATAAATCTGCATCTCGGCATATTTATCGCGGAAGAGGTTGCAGGGCGCAGGCAGCGTTGTCATTCTGCAGGCAGCACACCACAGCTCGAAACCTGCCCAGCAGAGCCGAGCGGGCAGCGCACGCCACAACTAGGTCACACGGAGCTGAGATTTCTCCAAGCTTCCCCCATCACTCCTCAGAGCAAGTTTTTTCCCTTCATGTTCTCGAATACTTTTATTCCCTACTCCGCACTTAAGACTGAAAGACCTCCTGGGATCTGATCTCACATTTATCAATGCGAAGAGCTGACAGGGAGCCTTTTGCTATTAAAACATCTTCCCCTCAAGGCGAGATCAGAGGTGGTCGAAGGCAAAGACAAGCTGTTCCCATTGTTCAGACTCAGAGTGGATCCACTTGGGCCAAAAGCCTCGGCAGGGGATCCTGCAAAGCAGACACTGACCTCTTGCCTTGCTCCAAAAGGCTCCTGTCCACAGGGGGCCCGGCCCAGCCAGGTCCCAGTGCGGAACGGGGCCACCAACGGGCAACTGCCAGGGCAAGAACACCGGCACGGAGGACACCCGGCTTCCCCCGGGTCTGTCTCGCCAGGCTCGCTGACTTTTCCATCGAGTGACAGTCACACCACCAGGTGTGCTCAGCCTCAGCAGCCGTCACGGGATCGATGCAGGGAAGGGAGATGGAGAGGGAGTCGCTGGGGAACAGAGGCTCTAGTGTCTGCTTGGTGCAAACCCTGAAGCCTCCGAAAAGCACTTGCTCACAGGCTTTCTCTGACGCCCAGTTAAGGAGCAGGCTCACCTGGCGCTCCTTCCTTAAGCAGAGGCATTAATCTCTTCTCCTCTGGCCAGCAGCTTGCACAAAACCTGTGCCAATCCAGCACCTTTCAAATTTCTACCCTGGCATAAGAAAAAAAGGCAGGCATTCCAAACCAGCTCAGAAGCAGCTGAGATGTTGGCTGCCTGCAGACAGGAACAGCGCAGCTGGAGAAGTGAAACTCAGCTGGGAAGGAAGCTACGACGGGAGGATGGTATAGGGATGCTGAGGCTGCAGCTTGCTCTGGCGTCAAAGGAGGTTTCTGCCCTCCCAGTTCTCACCCTCGGATAAAAAAACCCCAACAGCAACATCAGAGCCACCCTTGCCCCACGCAGCTGCTGGGAGGAGCACCCTTTCAGGCTCACTGCTGTTTTCCTGCCCGCTCCGAGTCCGCACGCAACGTGTGTGTCCCCTCCCCGCAGGCAGCGCCGTCCCTCCCCAGCACCAGCGGCCCAGGCAGGAGCCCCGGGTTCCGCTCCCACGGTCTGCAGGCAGCGGCCCGAGGAGGGCTCCCCGTGGAGACACGCTGCTCCCCGAGGAGCACACGCACCAGAGGACTCGGCACATCATGTACGAGTGGACTGTAAGGCTGGAAATTAAGGGTCCATTTATAAACCCTTTATTAATAAATGATTAATAGACACAGCCGTATTTTTTAATAACTTACAATAAAAAGATGCTACGGAAAGCTTAAGCAAGGCAGTCTTAACAGATGGTGCTATAAAGTGAATTATAACATGTACAGTAGCTAGTGCAAAGTAATGGATGTCCTCATTTAATAAAAAGAATCTGATTTTATGCAGCAACTTTCACGCTTGAGGCATCTCAATACACTCTAATGAGCCCTCGTGGCCTCAGCAATAGCTCGCACGCAGCCACGGACATCAGATGCTGTTTTAGTAAGGGAGTGGATGTCGGTCAGGACACGGGGGTTACTCCACAGTCTTGATTTTTAACCTTTCCTTGGACAGCTACCAAAAGCAGACAGAAGGGGCTGAAAGACGCCACCTCCTAACACTGCACTGCAGGGAACAACAAGCAAGCCTTGGTCTGGGGCTTGAAACGTCTTCTAACTAAGAAAAAAAAAAAAAAGCATTATTCCCACCACCGAAACCAGACTGGCATCTGTATCCATGACTATAAGGCATGCCGGAAATTATGTAATTTAATAAACACTGTAATAATAAAGTATTTATTTTGTATAATGAAGTGTTAGTGATTAGAAACCAAACACACATTGGGCATGCTGCTGTGGTTTCTCTTGAACCCTTGCCAGTATCACTCAAGGCTAAATATGTCTGCAGCAGGTTGAGAGTAAGTTCCTAGCCTTGTTTTGATCAGCCTGTCAAGTGTTTTAGCTGCCATTCGAGTTTCTTTATATCACACTATAATTGGCTGCTTTCTCAAGGTGCAGCAAAGGGAAGGAGAAGGAAAAAAAAAAAAAAAAAAAAAAAAAAAAGAAAGCACACAGCAAAACTCAGGCTCCTTCTGCAAAATCCTCCACTGAAACTGCGCTGCTTTTCTGAAAGCTGATTTCGGTAGCAAAGGGCATTTTGTAAACAGCTGGTGAAAATAGACTGGAACTGAAAGGCAGCTTGCATTAAACTCCACAAGAAAGCCTTATTTACCCTCATGCGCTTTCTTTGTAGTGTCGATCAAACCACTTCCAGCTCCCAGGGGAGGCCCTCGGAAAAATAAAGGGAATTAAAAAAAAATAAAATAAAATACAAATAAAAGAAATAGAAAAGCAAATGACGTCCTTCAGAGCCCAGCCGCACCTGAGAGCCCTCGGCGCGGCGCTCGC